TAGAGGGGAACGAAATCGTCGGGAACATTCGAAGCGTGCTCGTAAACTGCGGCGATCTTTTGATGCGTCATTAGTTCGTCGGCATTTGAATAACAATGAACGCTTGACTTCTCTCTTTTTGGTGAGTGGTTTGGCCAGAAAAGCCAACAGCTTTATTTCATACTTAAGCGATCAGATGCGTATTTTATGTAGCTATATATTTTAAGATTTTTGGTGCAAAATATACAGACACTGTGTGCGCCATAAAATCAAATTTTACACTGAGATTGAAAAAATGAAATGGAAATATTATGAAACGCGTAAAAAAGGAATGAGAAATTATGATGTTATAAAAGATCGTAAACTGGAAAGAAAAGTTTGGATTCGAACAAGCACAAAAATTATTTGGGGACCGGCAACTGTCGGTGAGATATAAATTATTTCTAGCCCTTACTAGGACAAAAAATAATCTGGAAATGTACGTTTGCAGGAGAAGCGTGAACGGGGCAGTCGACAGCGCGATATTCCACTGACCGCAGAGAACAAAGGTAAAACCCACAGAGTTACATTTCAGATAACGAAGGAGGAGGACAGACCATCAAGGTGTGGAGTGATAACGCTGGGGCTTAAGAAATTCGGGGGAATGGCTTTTTTCTCCGTGTAAATCAGTCGAAAAAATCGACGTGAGGATGCTACTAGAGCGTCAAAACTGAAAAAGAAGATGTCCAGTTATATAAAGTAAAATATAAACAATAAATAGTCAGTGCCCCGACTGTGCGAAGATGCGTTTTTTGCATAGTTCACCGCAGTTTTTTGTCGCTAACGACACTTTTTTCCGGTAGATGCTTCTACCTAAGAGAATTTGAGATTGGCCGTCAGGGCTGTCAGAAAGCATCTCTTTAAAAGTTCAGCTTTCTAGCTTTCTTGATTTCCGAGTTAGTAACTTACCCACAAAAATTTTCACGGGCTCATACATAGGAACCATGCGTACCCAGGGGCTGGGTTTGAGCTAATTAATACCTACTTGGACAGGCAGCATCCCATTAAAATTTCAGTCTTCTAGCTTTTCTAGTTTCCAAGTTAGGCTGCAACCTATTTATATTAGGCTACAACCTATTTAGCAAGTTACCCAAAAAAACTGTCACGGGTCCATAAGTGGGAACTACGCTTACCCAAGGACTAAGTTTGAATTCATTAAGACCTATGCGGATGGGAAAAATCTAAAATTCCAGTCTTCTAACTTTTCAGGTTCTCGAGTTAACAACTTACCCGAAAAAAGCTTTCACGGGCCTGTACGTAGAAATTACGCAAATGAACTCAAACTCACCCGCGGGGTGGGTTTGAGTTCACTAATACTTACTTGGACGGGAGCATTCCTCGAAAATTCCAGTCTTCTAACCTTTCAAATTCCCGAGTTAGCAACTTACCTAAAAAAAAAATCTTCACAGGCCCTTACGTGGATACCATGCATACCCAGGAGCTGGTTTTGAGCCCATTAATACTTACATGGATGGGGAATATCTCCGTAAAGTTTCAGCTTCCTAGCTTTTTTGGCTCCCGGATTAGCAGCTTGTCTGCCAAAAATTTTGGTCTCTGGGCTTGAACTTTTGAAACATGATTGTTGAAATCTGAATCACTGACGCAGGGTCTCAAAGTAGTTTCCGGATTGTTGTCTGTTAGCCTCGTGCTTATTTTAGTTTTATTTTCATGAGAGTGCAGAAGCGTGGCGAGGTATAATCCCCCCTCCCCTTTCGTCCAGTTAAGCACTACATTCCGACTCCCTCCGCGGGCCGGATTCGGCCAGCAGACCGCCGGTTGCCACCTGTGATTTATCGCAACATCTTGTAGCAGCGGAAGTTGAATATCCCAGCGTATTCTTCGTTGTCATATGTTTTTGCATAAACCGAACATGCATTCTGGATATAACAAGTGTGAAAAACTCAGTTAACCCCAACCCAAAATTACGAAAACTAGGAGACCGAAATTTCGGGAATATATCCGGGACAAGTCACATATTAAGAGCCACTCTGTGAACTTCTTTATGTCCTAAGATTAGACCTACGTTGTGGAGAGGGGTGGCAGTGGATGGTAGCATATAAGATGATAATGTATTTAAGAAAATTCCTAGCGAAGACTAAAGGAAAATTAAAAAGTGTAGTGAAATAAAGTTAATTTTAAATTAAGAAGTGTGTAATTCTTGTGCACAAGGTGCTTTCGTTTCGGCAAATTATCTCGAAAGTGAGATCTATCACTCCACAGTTTCAAAATTTCACCTACCATGAGCTGAATACTTATCGATTTTTATGCTTTACTCTGGCTTAATTATTGGAACTACTGGCTAAACAAAGGCAACATTCGCTTTCCAGAAGCGGAGAAACCCATATGCCTCAATCCTTATTCATAAGTTCTTGGATGAATTTAAAAATTATGGTCTTTTGCAGCAAACTAGCTAAATGCAAAAAAGCGTGTCTGTGCCGATGTAATAGTGCGCAACAAACAGGCCTGATCCTAGATATTAGTTTTCATTAGGGCAAGCAAACAGATAAGGTAAAATTACGCTGTGAGTGAATTGCAGAGCCGAAGCGGAAAGTGAGGAAAGGACGACGAGAGAGGCTGCCCACCAAGGAAGCCTTAGTCCTCGGTTTGCACTCATTTCCAGATGCTCGCAGTACCGGGCCTGTGAATAATGAGGTTTGTTTAAGGAAATTCATTTGAGCGGTAACTTCTTGCGCTTACTGCTTGTATGTAAGAAACCGTACAACCCGTTGTGGCGCCATATCGCTACTACGTTCCGTCAATTTTAGTATCAAGCCAGAGCCCCCCCCCCCCCCC